AAAACCTTTTGAATGTTGTTTAGGATCATGACATTGATAAAGGCCAACGACCTTGGCCATCTTTAGCTAGTGTTTGGACACCTTGGATGATGCTAATGCCGACAGTACTCCAACTTTCAAGCTTCATAACTCAAGATTTATTTCATAAAAAAATATTTTATTTATGTGTTTTGGAAAGTTCTCGAGGCGTGCTATAAGAACATGTAATGAAAAATTGGGGGTTCCATTAAAAAAATTCAAAGTGACCTTGTCCTGACCTTGACGACGCCACTCAGGGTCAAACCAATGTTATCATCTTATGTCCCCCTCGAAGCCCTACAACTTTTGTCTGAAACATTTTTTCCTAGTGTGCTTATTTTTCGAGATATTCGACTGGATGGATTAAAATGGTCCACCCTGTAGAAAAGGCCGTTTTTTGCCCACAAAAAAAGGAAAAGTGTAAAACATAGTGAATCTTATAGATTTCGACCTGCTGAACACGATGGTGCTATTAGTTTTCATTGAAAATGCGGGGAACATCGTCATTTTTCGAGTTGAAATCCTATTTTTCATGAAAGCTCATTATTTTCATGAAAAATAGGACTTCAACTCGAAAAATGACGATGTTTCCCGCATTTTCAATGAAAACTAATAGCACAATCATTTACATATATGTAAATATTACTAACATTCATATTATTATATCTGTTATGTATCTGTAGAGTATCTAGATTTATTCTTAAAATAAATGAATCTGTCTAGTTATTTATAGAAAATGCGTATCTGTGCCTAGTTACATTTTTCTTCAAATAACTATAGCTCATTATTTTAAAACATATATCTCTATCTAACACTATATAATTATAAGGCTGACGTTTTTGAAAAGTTAAAAAAAATAATGTATTGCAGTGATGGACGTGCGGGGTAGCCAGTGGTCCGGCGGCACTATGTCAGACAACGAGATGGCCTCGAACAAGACATCGAGTCCGAATCCGCTGCCGTATCCGGACATGAGCTCGCCGCCGAAGAGCCAGCCGGACGAGAACTACTCGGAGGGCGAGGAGAAGCTGCATCATCTGGGCGAGAAGTACCTGTTCCCCTATACCGCCGAGGAGGACCACACGGTGTCGCCCACCCCGTACATGCTGTCCATGTCGTCGCGCATCCTCGCCTCCAGCATGAGCCATCACTCGCAAAGCTCGAACCACGAGAACCTGAGCGGCTCCGAGCAACGTTACGGCAGCCTGAAGCGCGGCCAGAGTCTGCACGGTTCCCAGAACGACAATCTCAGCGGTTCCGAGAGGTACGGCAGTCTGAAACGCGGTAAGATGGGCACCCCCACCGTTCTGGAGGACAGGCCCGAGTACATCCTGCCGATGAGCGGCAGGATACTGTCGAGCTCGTTGACCCACGACCTGCAGCACAGCAACGAGCTGGCGGCGCTCAGGCACCAGCAACAGCAGCAACAGCAGCAGCAGCAATACGAGCAGACCATCACCGAGACCGAGTGAGTAATACGGACGTGTATCATATTTGGCAAATTTATTTTTTAAGAGGGGATTTTGCTTTACAAGTAGAGATGTAAAAAAAAAACGTTTTTTTCTAATAGAAAAAACATTAGAAAAAAACTGTTTTATTTCATTGAAATAATACAAATTTGTTTTTTTCTAATTCCGATAGCACAATTAATTATTTGTAAATAGTAATTATATAATTAATTTTAACGTGATCTACATTTAACTTTTACAAAAAGAGAACCTTTTTAATTCTTTTTCTAAACAGCTTTTTCTCAAGTAGAATTTATTATAATTATTCATTGAAGTTCTTGCTTCAAAATGCGTTTTAGAATCAATATATTGCCTTTCTCGTTCTGCGGTTAAAATGATGATAATTTAAATCTACTATATATAAAATAAAAAATCATGAAAAATTAACTTATTATTATTAAGCAAAATATAGATATTAAATAGATAGCTGAAAAGAACAAAATTTTGAGAAAAAACGAGGCTTATGTTTTTTTCTTAAAAAAACGTATTTTTGAAAAAAAAACAATTTGGTTGTTTTTCTATTTACATCTATATTTACAAGCCAAAAAAAACGGTGATTAGATAAAAATTTTTTTCAACTAAAATAAAAGTGAATAAATATTTCAAAAGTTTTACAGTGTTTTATTATACATATATTCAAGCAATGAAAAAAATTTTTTTTATTAATAAATAATAGAATGTTTTGATAACGTCGCGCCGCTGGAATTGTTCAATTGTGTACAGTCATGGACACATCGATTGCGACACTTTCTTTTTTATAGGTTTCAAAACGCACTAATATTTTGCAAATGCGGACTACGATTAGTGTTATACTGTCCCTAGACTAAAGATAGTACATCGTGGTTTGCATTTGCAAAATATTAGTTATCTATAAAGTATATATGTATATTAAATATATATTAAAAACCTGTAAAAAAAAGTGTCGTAACCGATGTGTCCACGACTGTACA